TTTTCAGATTAGATCACTGTTTAGTTACTGAAGGTTATATAAATATTATGTTGTTAAATGTTAAATATATATATATAGTTTAGATGCAAAACCCTCTAAATACATCAGACCACTTTTTTGTAAATGAGCATTTTCTATCAGGCTCCTCTGATTAGGTTCAGAAGTTTCATTTTATATGTAATAAAAAGGTTATTAGCTAGTAAATAAAATAAAGTTTTTTTCAAAAATGTCACTTTAGGCAATTCTTTTATTTTTAACAAGGTAGATTTTCTTTTGCGTCAAAACCAGTTAAATCCACTTCTACTTTTTTTGCAAAAACATCTAAATCCATCTACTGGGACAAGATAGTGTAATTAGTTGAAAAGTAATGAAAGATGCTAATCATTTACCAAACATTAAACACATTACACAAACCATATAAAATTAAAAACACATAAATCTGTCAAGTAAGTGGCGGTTCATTCCTCTGTGTTAATCCCTGGGACCAGGGACAAAGCAGAATGAAAATGAATGAATGAAATCTGTAAAGTAAGTGCATTAATCAATAACATTAAAACTGACATTAATTAAATCTTAACAATCTGTTGTCATTTCTGATATTTGGGATTCAGATTTAATGGAAGAACAGCAATGCAAACATTGTAAACTAAGCATGTTAGCGTGTCAAATAATGTCAAATAATGTAAAAAATAGTGTAAAATGTTGTGAAACATCAGTAACTGTGCATTGTCTATTAATATAAAATCTTATCAGGCGTATAGGTAATATGAAGTAATATAAATAGTGTATAGTTTTATACATTATATTTATATTTATGTTCAAGAAACCCGTCTGAGATGATTCACACTTCTTGACATGGTATGTTATCATGCTGAAAGTAAGTAACCATCAGAAAATGGGTACACTGTGGTCATAAAGGGATGGACATGGTCGGCAACAATACTCAGGTTGGCTGTGGCATTGACATGCTGCTCAATTTATACTAATAGGCCCAAAGTGTGCCTAGATTATATAACCTACACCATCACACCACCACCACCAGCCTGTTGATACAAGCCAGGGTGGATCGATGCTTTCATGTTGTTGAAGCCAAATTCTGACCCTATCATCCGAATGTCACAGTAGAAATTGAGACTCATCAGACCAGGCAACATTTTTCCAATCTTCTGTGTGGCTGTGTGACATGTAGCCACCGTTTCCTGTTTTAGCTGACAGGAGTAGCACCTGGTGTGGTCTTCTGCTTCTGTAGCCCAACAGCCTCAAGGTTGGACGTGTTGTGCTTTCAGAGATGCTCTTCAGTTTTAATGAGTGGTTATTTGAGTTACTATTGCCTTTCTATCAGCTCGAACCAGTCTGGCCATTCTCCTTTGGCCTCTGACATCAACAATGCATTTGCACCCACATAACAGCTGCTCACTGGATATTTTCCCTTTTTTGAACCATTTATTGTGAAAACCTTAGCAGAGCAGCAGATTCAGAAAATCTCAGACCAGCCTACCTGGCACCAACAATCCCACCTTCAAAGTCACTTAAATCATCTTTTTCTACATTCTGATGCTCAGTTTGAACTGCAGCAGATCGTCTTGACCATGTCTACATGCATAAACGCATTGCGTTGCTGCCTTGTGATCAATCTGTGTTAACGAGCAGTTGGACAGGTGTACCTAATGAAGTGGTTGTTGAGTGTGTGTGTATATATATAATGTTGTTTATTTAAAAAACACACACACACACACACACACACACACACACACACATATATATATATATATATATATATATATATATATATATATATATATATATATATATATATATATTAAATATTCAACAGGCTCTATAATAATAATAATTACTATAATTATTATTATTATTATTATTATTGTGGTTATTATTATTTTTGTCTGACATACTTGGTCAAACTTTGTCATGTACTTAAATATTTTACCTGAATAATTTTGTTTTAAGAAAGCAAATTATAAACAAAAATGAATGATGTGGTTAATTGCAAGGCTTTTGCAAACATACCCACAATTTCTTCTTAACTGCTGTTTTCTCAACTGTCATTTGCATATTCTAAATGTCTACAAATTCTACATATCTAAATGTCACTTTCAGAGGAATTGTAGTTGCAGTCTGATTGTTTATTATATCAATATATCATAAGTATAATGGAGCCTTAGTCCATGTCCACACTAATACATAACTCTTTTAAAAAAACGACAACATATTTTTTTCTCTCTGTTTCAGCTTTCTTTCCACACTGTGATTACATTTTTAGGAATCTCTTTAAAAGTATTCTCCTAGGTGTGCAAATCTGGAAACACTTTTTTTGGGTTACAGTGTAAACAGTGAAAATGAAGATTTTACAGCATTTGTTTTGGATACTTTCCATTTTGACGGCATTGAAGATAAAGATTAATGTCATTTTGTGCATGCTTCAGCTTTTATTTAAAGGACATGGAATGTTTACACAGAGCTAGGCTTTTTATTTTGGCACATCTCCCAGTTTATATTCTCACTCGCATTTTCACTTGCATTGTGTTACAACAACAAGTTAGTGTAACATTTCAAAGAGTGAGAAAGTGAATAAACTCTAGCTGGAAATGGATGGGATTGATCTTCAAAACTCTTTCTTCGACTGATTGTCTAAAGCCAATTTTGACTCTACAGCCATCACGCAAGTGCAGAGTGTGGAAATTAGAGCATAACATTTTTTTTTTTTTTTACTATGAGCAGAAATACTGATATCGTTTGCCATCTGGAAAACTTTAAATCAAGTTTTCAGTTTTGTGGATTATAATTTTATATTAGTTTACTTCTATGATTCACGCTTATTATATTGCTTTCAAGGAGATCTCTGCATAGCCATTGATGTCGCTAATAACCAGGGCCAGACGGAATCTGCAGACGTTTTTTGCTATTTCTGCAGAGAATTTTGGTAAAAATCTGCGGATTTCTGCGGAATAATTTTGGGAGTATCCGGCGGGGTATGATAACTAAAACCTTAATACATGAAATAAAAAAGAAATACCTTTATAACTTTTATTTAATGTTTTCGAATGCAAATCCAATTAGATTAATTTCATTTGGTAAACAAAGCAAGTCTCTCATATAATATCTTTACTAAAAGAAATCATTACTTAACAAACTGTGTTGTACATAAATCAGATGAACTTTCATAATAGTCAATATTTTTCTGTGATTAATTAAAAAACTGAATACATTTAGATTTACACATTTACTCAAGTAAATAAACAGAATTAATAATGGGCTAAAAATCTGCAGAAATCTGTGAAATTCTGTGGAAAATCTGCGGAATTCTGCCCGCACAGATTCCGTGTGGGCTTACTAATAACAAGGGGTTCTAAATTCTAAATAGGCATTTCAATTAATACTACATGTTTTTTATGTATTGGCTTTTGCCCGTTATGTCTGAAGTGCAGGTGACTTTAATTTGACCAACAATCAAACAAAAAATCCTGACAGCCAATCAATCTCTTTTTTTCTGATGGTATTTATAGTTTAAGGATCAGATTTTTAGATGTGTTGTATGATCTACAGATATATTTATTGCTTGTGAGTGTGAGGTCAGAATAAGTTCAGAAGTTCAATTCTCATTTGTCATTAAATAAATACAGCAGGGACTTAAATACCAGCAGAGCTAAGATAAGAAGTGTCCTTACAATCCAAAACCTCATGGTGTGTTTATTTATTATGAACTGTCCACAAATAAAGCTTATATCATCTTTGGCCTTAGATATTTTTTTAAATTACTTTCAATTACTACTAGATGAACTGTTTACTTGTGTAAATGACTTGTGTTGATCAAAAAGCTTCCTTTGACTTCCTATTTTTTTGTATAGAAAAGCTGGTGAATGTTCCACTGAATGCTAAAACCTTAGGTTTATGTTCTCATTATCTTAACCTTTTTGATTACTTTTTCACATTTATCACAGAATCCTCAAAAATGCTTATTTATATGTGTTCATTTATTTTTGACTTTTTCAGAACATAGCACAATAGGGCACAAGCTATAATGTCTGTACATGAATTAGTTTCACAAAAACAACATTTCTAAATATAAATACCAATTTGCGTCATAAAACACAACTCATACTGACTATATGAGCCTTTCTTTACTTCAGATTGAATTTCATAGAATGATTGCTGATCATTGCTTTATGTTATGTGCATTGCATGATAGATTTTTTTGCAAAACGTTATCTTAAAAACAACAACATCAACAGAAAAGTTGCTTGGAGTGAATTGGTAAAAAATAAATAATAATAATAATAAATTCTTTGAGTGCCCACTAAAGGGTCACTTCACCCCAAAAGGAATTTTTTTTATAATTTGCTCTCCTTGTGTCCATTCAAAACCCATAAACCTTTTGTTCACCCTCAAAACACAAATTAAGTTGAATTCCAAAAGATTTATGTCAACCCATTAAAAATCGAATCACCCAAAACTCAAGAAGTGTGTGCATGTGTGTGCGTGTTTGTGTGTGTTTATCTCTCATAAATGGTAAATCAGCATCCTTCGTATCTGTCACTGTGCTGTTTATTTGAGGTGAGAAGCATCAGAGTTGAGGTATAAAAAGTTCAACAAAGTAAAGGACATCTCTAAATTTATGTTTCAAATTGAATCAAAGTTCTTAAAATGTTTGTGATGACATGATGGTAAATAATTGCAGAATTTTCATTTTGGGTAGAGTTAACTCTTTGATTGTACAGTTTTTGTAAAATATTGTGAGGAAATCTAAACATGACTCTAAACCTAAACTTTCCTTTATCTATTTGGGACATCGAGACATTGAGATGTAGGATTCAGTGTATTATTTATAGAATGATGAGCTAAGAGAATAATTTTAAATGCTTTTTATAGAAAAAAACGGAGAATGTAACAAAATGTAATTAACTTGCCATGCAACTTATTGTGAACTTTTGTCTTTATTCAAATGATACTGATTCTCTGTACTTTCTGTTTGTTTCCACCAGAGAACACCAGTAAACAGCGGAGAAGCATTTCGATGGTTCTTTTAGGACTCTCAAATACGTGACATCATATGGACTGATGTAACAGACTTACCACAAAAGGAAATTGCAGGGCTACAAACCCAAAACAAAACCCAGACTGTGGATGACAGAGCATGAGAGGGTTTGACAAGTTAAACAAAGGAAGAAAAAAAACTTTGTAATTTTATTTCCTGTGTAATTATTATTGTACCTTTTGGCAGCATCAATGTATATTTTTCAGTGTCTATCAATGTGTTTCAGTGTCTTGGCTGTGCAAGTTGCAAGCATTGTTGTAAAGAACTGAGTAGACAATCATTACAAACAGAGGAAAATAATGTCAGCCAGTGGGCTAATGGCCATTTGGATCACAAACATATTTTTAAATCTGGAGCAATAATTATAAAGGTAATTGTTCACCTCCTAATTGCCACCACTTTACACTTTTCTAAGGAATGATCTTAAAAATACCTCTTTTCACCTAAACCGACAAGTTCGAGACACACATTAGCTATGTTTTCATCTATTATCTATTATACTATCACCAAAAAAGCATTACATTTTGAAAATTTGGTCAAAACTTATACCCATAACTAAGATAACTTTTTATCTGGTTAGAAAAAACATGCACATAAACTATGACGGAAACAAATATACAGAATAAATTCCACTGTGCGCAATCATGTGATTTTGTTTCAGCATCAGTAATGTTGTTTTGGTCAAGTCTTCACAGTAGTTAAGTTTCATTACTTCCCAGAACTGTCTCATGCCTCAAAAAGCCACTGTGCGTTTATTACATTTCATTGTCTTCTAAGATGCAAGTATTTTAGTATATAAGTATGAAACAGCCCACAGTGACCTCCTACAGCAGCAAATTTCAGGCAAATGTTTGCCAGTTTATGAAATTTTCATTCTCTTTGACTCACTGGATGGAAACAGTGCTTTATTCGCAAATTTTTAATGCGATATTCCAGTTTTGCGCATAAACTTAAATCTCATCAATTTGAATGGAAACATAGCTACTGTGATTAATCTCTCATTAATGTGATGTTTTGTATTTGACAGACTTTGTATGAACAGTAAGCAAAAGCCAGGAATTTTCTTTCTTTTCAGCTGTGTTAATTTTTTGTGTGGCACATTATCTTGTTGCCATGGTGCACTTTTAAAGGTCCGGTAATGCTGAGAGACGGTGGTCTAAGGTTGTTTGTATAGTCTCTCAAAGTTCGATCACATTCCACTTAGTTTTGGTTGAAATTCTTTCAAAAGACTACCTAAAGGTAGGTAGCGAGCCAGTACAAAACATTTATGGAAATCAAAGTAAGATTTGTGACATGATATTTTAAGTCTCACAACACAGTAAACAACACATTCCGATATGAATTATCCAATAAGTTGCTCATTGTCTTTACCCTAATGTTGCATGTGTAAGTGTGTTTTTGTTTTAAAGATAACAAAAAATTTGTATATTGTTGTTGTGATGCTTTTATGTGTTAAAATAATAAAGGAAAGGAAAAAAAAAAGGAAAAACGGTGAAAAAAAATTATTTGATGCTATAATTTGAACAATTTTTACATCTGTATAGTGTTTCTATCTTTTATCCTAATATAAGCATACATTTCCTCTGTTTCTATGTGGCTGTCACAGGGGATAAAAAAGTGGGAAGAAAATACAGGAAAAAAACAGACATTGTCATCCCATCTTTCCAGAGAATGCAGAAATGTCACATGGAAAAGAGAATGACTCCCAGAGGCGTTAAGCCTTAAAGAGACACTGAAATCCCTTGCGGTTTGTAATGCGTGGAACGGGTGGGTTTTGGGGGGCAGGCGGTGGTTTGGGGGAATCAAGGATATCGCAAGGATAGAATAATTTTGGTGTGGAACATGGAACAAAGGAGCTTCTTTCAGGAAAACAGAAGGAATATGCTTTCTGGAAAATATAATGATATTGATGGCTCGACTCATGGTTCCAAACTAGCCATCCTTTACAACTTATGCAGCAAATGTTTTACGCAGCGGACGCCCTTCCAGCTGAACCCGTCACTGGGAACATTCATACACTTCCATCCACACAGAAATGCCAACCAACCCAGCTGGGGCTCGAACCAGCGACCTTCTTGCTGTGAGGCTGCCTGTAACTGTTATTTGCAATCAAATTACATTTTTTTTTTTACATTTTACTGTTTCATTATTATTATTATTATTATTATTATTTGTGTAATATTACCTGTTAATTAAATATACTAGGTACAACAAGTCACTGTTAAATATACAATGCATCCGGAAAGTATTTATTGTCAAGTATTCACTTCACTTTTCCACATTTTTTTTTCATGTTACAGCCTTATTCCTAAATGGATTATATAATGACAACATGATTTTTTTTTTTATTGCTGAAAATTTATTACAAATAAAAAACCTGAAAAATAACAAAAAAAAAAAAAACACAAGTATTCACAGCCTTTGTTGTGAAGCTCTAAATTGAGCTCAGGCACATTCTGTTTCCACTGATCATTTTGAGATGTTTCACCTGTGGTAAACTCAGTTGATTGGACATGATTTGAAAAGGCATACACCTGCCTATATAAGGTCCCAGGGTTGACAATGCATGTTGAAGCACAAACTAAGCATGAAGACAAAGGAACTGTCTCGAGGCACAAGGCTGGGGAAGGTTACAGTAAATTTTCTGTTGCTCTGAAAGTTCCAATGAGCACAGTGGTCTTTATCATCTGTAAGAGGAAGATGTTTGGAACCACCAGGACTTTTCCTAGAGCTGGCTGGCCATCTAAGCTGTGTGATCAGGTTTGAAGAGCCTTAGTCAGGGAGGTGATCAAATAACCCGATGGTCACTCTGTCTGACCTCCAGCATTCTTCTGTGGAGCGAGGAAAACCTTATCAAGGGACAACCACCTGTGCAGCAATCAATCAATCAGGCCTGTATGGTAGAGTGGCCAGACTGAAGCCACTCCCCACCTGGAATTTGTCAAAATTCATCTGAAGGACTCTCGGACCATAAGAAACTAAATTCTCTGGTCTGAGGAGACTAAAATTGAACTCTTTAGAGGGAATGCCAGGCGTTACATTTGGAGAAAATCAGGCACCTCTCACCAGGCTAATACCATCTCTACAGTGAAGCATGGTGGTAGCAGCATCATGCTGTGGGGATGCTTTTCAGCAGCAGGAACTGGAACGCTAGTCAGGATAGATGACAAGATGAATGCAGCAATGTAGAGGGACATCCTGAGAAAAAAACTGCTTCAGAATGCTCTTGACCTCAGACTGGGGCGACGGTTCATCTTCCAGCAGGACAATGACCCAAAGTACACTGCCAAAATATCAATGGAGTGGCTTTACAACAACTTGGTGAATGTTCTTGAGTGGCCCAGCCAGAGACCAGATCTAAATCCTATTGAGCATCTCTGGAGAGATCTGAAAATGGCTGTACAACGTCCCTTCCTATCCAACCCAATAGAGCTTGAGAGGTACAGCAATGAGGAATGGGCAAAAATTCCCAAAGAAAGGTGTACCAAACTTGTGGCATCGTATTCAAAAAGACTTCAGGCTGTAATTGCTGCAAAAGATGCATTAACAAAGTACTGAGCAAAAGCTGTGAACACGTATATACATGTGATTTTTTCTTTTATATATATATATATATATATATATATATATATATATATATATATATATATAATTTGTAATAATAATTTAATCCATTTTGGAATAAGGCTGTAACATTAAAAAATGTGGAAAAAGTGAAGCACTATGAATACTTTGCACTGTATATGCAATTGAAGTGAGAATTATTAGCCCACCTTATTTATTTTCTTTATATATATATATATATATATATATATATATATATAACAAATGATGTTCAACAGAGCAAGGAAATCACTGTGTAAATCACAGTATGTCTGATAATATTTTGTCTTCTGGACAAAGTCTCATATGTTTTATTTCGGCTAGCATAAAAGCAGTTTTAATTTTTTTAAAAACATTTTAAGGTCAAAATTATTAGTCTCTTTAAGCTATTGTTTTTCCCAATAGTTTACAGAACAAACCATCATTATACAATAACTTGCCTAATTACCCGAACCTGCCTAGTTTACCTAATTAACCTGGTTATGCCTTTAAATGTCACTTGAGGCTGTATAGAAGTGTCTTGAAAAATATCTAGTAAAATATTATTTACTGTCATCATGGCAAAGATAATTCAGTTATTAGAAATTAATTATAAAAACTATTATGTTTTACAATTTGTTGAATAAATCTTCTCTCCGTAAAACAGAAACTGGGTAAAAAAAAATAAATAACAACAGGGGGCTAATAATAATATAGAGGGAGAGAGAGCACAAGTCTTATGGCTATTCATGTTTCATGGGATTCAGGTGTTTTACTCTATTTAGGCTATCAAACAGCATCATGCATGGGACATGGATGTATACTTCATTGTTGTTGTTTTCCAGTTAATAGTGGCAATTTAAACTGGAACTGTTATTTGATGAATGTAACAGAAAAAAAAGAGGAGAGCCTGTTGGAATTTCTATGACCACAGTGTCTACTGCATTTTAATTCATTTGTTGTTGTTGTTATTATTATTATTACTTAGTTTATGCCTATTTATAATAACAGATAGCTTTTGATTGCATTTCCTTTTGTTTGTTTTATTTATTAAGTTATTATTCATTGTTAAAATATATTTTTGTAGTTCAGCATTTAAACACATTTTTTCAAACATTAATAACCAACAAACAATGAATAAACCTAATTTGTTTTTACCTGGTTTTACCTGAATGATTATTTTTGAATTACCTCATTTTGTAGGTTTTAAATACAGGACTAAGCAAAGGCAAAAACAAAATCTTCTTTTTTGTGTCTGTTGAAAGTGTCAAATGCCTGTTAAATACTTGTTATTGACTCTTCACAAGCCTCTCTGCTTTTCAGGAAAGGATGTTTCCTGAAAAATGACAGAAGAATATGAAGCATTGGAACAGCTGGCAGTAGAAAGCCTGAGGAATATGACTGCAGTTGGCGGCAGCCTCGTCTGTGTCAAATCCTCTCAGCCAGTGATCACAAGGTGATAAGAGCCATCAAGAACATGTTGAATGCTGTGATTAATAAACCACATCAGAAGGGGCTCTAATCCTCTTCTGTTCTTCAGCCCATTCGCACACCTTGATTTAAAGAAACGCCTTCCCTTATTCTACAACTCTACATTGCATAAGTAAACAAACAGTGTTTGATGCCTAGCTCAAAACAATCTCATTCTATTATGTTAAAATCTTTAAAGTTAAGAAATCTTAGAGTGTTCTACATATTGTTTTTAAGGATAACAAATTAAGCAATCCACTTAAAATATCCATATTAAAGCAAATAAAAAATATCAAATAAATACATCAGTGAGCAACAAAAAAAGTGTAGACAGATACTTCTCAGTCTATGATTTTTTGTTCTTTTGTGGTGGCTCTGTTGGGTCTGAACCCAGTGTCTCCCGCAGGCATGCCCACCCCAGGGATGGTGCAGTCCTCTAAGTAATCCCTCAGGGATTCTGCAGGGAATGATCATGCTGTGCTGTGCTAGGAATACTGGCATTTCCTGGCAAAGTGCACACAACTTTTAGAGTGCGGAGGGTTTTAAGTGAAAAAAGAAAGATGCACCTAATGTGGGAGAGGAGTCAAGAAAAAGACAAATACTGTTGTAAAATTATAAATGTAACTTTATCAATAACTTTACCAATACTAGCAATATTAAAGGGAGAGTTCACAAAAATACAAATTCTGTCATCAATTATTCATGCTTATTATAAATCTGTTTGAGTTTCTTTCTTCTGTTCAACACAAAGAAAGCTTTTTAAGAAACCTGCAACTATTGACTTCCATAGTGTTTGTTTTTCCTTCTAGAAATCAGTGGTTACAGGTTTTCATCTTTTTTCAAAATATCTTCTTTAATGTTCAGAATAAAAAATACTCATAATGGTTTGAGACCACTTTAGGTAACATTTAATTTTATTAGTTTGTTTTCAATATTGTGTTGTTATTGATAAGAAAATGAACACAGTAACAGTAATATCATCAACAAATTTGATGGTGTTCCAAGATGCATGCTCCTAATATGTAAATTAAAAGTCCATGTCCTTTTACTCTACTAACCTGAAAGCTCTCTGACCCTCCCTTCTCTAGACAGCAAGGTTCATGAGATGTTCAGAAAAAAAAAAAAAAAAAAAAAGAAAAACACTAACCCTTGTCAAAATATTCCATGTGATAAAACTCCAAAACACTTTTGTTTGTCAAAATAATGTAAATACAACTCTGTTCCCCTAAAGTTCTTCCTTGTCAGGTCACTAATTTGCTTTTTTAATAAGGGCTATGACATATTGTCATTAGAGCACAACATACAAGTGTCATATTGCCCAAACAAAGCAGTTTTTACAATGTTTTAGGATTTTGAATGTCTTTGCATTGTTTCTGTTAGAGGTGGGGGTGTGGTGGGGGAGGTGTAAAGGAACTTTCAGAATATTTTTTAAATATCTTAATTTTTGGTGTGATTTTGAAGGAAGGACTCAGGGTATTAAATTACTCGTGATAAAAATTACTAGTGTAAAAAAACGTTATAAACTCATTGATTTCTTTTTGATTTTTTGCATGTTTGTTACACTTTAATGTTTTAGATCAGGAAATAATTAAAATTTTAGCCAAAGATAACAAAAGTAAACACATGCAGTTTATAAATTAAGGTTTTTATTATTAAGCGAAAAAAAAATACAAAACTACATAGCTCTGCGTGAAAAGGTGTTAACCCCATACTGGTTTATCACACCTTTATTTTTTTTGCCACACCCAGGCCTGATTACTGCTACACCTGTTTGCAATCAAGAAAACACATAATTATGATCTTCCTGACAAAGTGAAGTAGACCAAAAGATCCTTAAAAGCTAAACATTCATAAACTCAGATTCAAAGATTTTCAAAAATAAATGAGAAAGAAAATAATAAAGATCTACCAGTCTGGAACAGCTGTTTCTAAAGCTTTGGGACTGCAGTGAACCACAGTGAGAGCCAGTATCTACAAATGGCAAAAACACTGAACAGTGGAGAACTTTCCCAGCAGTGGCTGGCTGACCAAAATTAACCCAAGAAAGCAGTGACAATGCATCCAAGAGGTCAC